AAACCAGACCATCACTTTAAATTGTACCTAAGTGCATAATATATTTTTCAAAGTTGTACGGTTCTACTAATACGAAAAAATTACATCTTATATAAATCCCGATTAGATCCGATTGTGAAAACGATTTAAAATGTGCGTAGGAAATTTTCAATTTTTAAGTTATTGAACTATTGTAAACTACTGCAAGGAAAAAAGCTTAGGTACTTCAATTGTGAATTAATATTTTTGCATTAAAATTTAATAACAAATATAATTCGAAATGTATATTTTTTATTAAGTACTTATTATATACTCAATATTATAGCCAATATTTTATTTTTAAACATAAATGTAAGCTTTTAGAATTACTTAAGCGATAACATGAAGAGCATTATAGTTGGAGAACATAATTCACTTTTTTTTATTTATGAGTAAAATATACTCTCTTGCATAAATATCACAAACACCCATGATATAAATCGATAAAAAAATCCACTTGTATCAAACAATGATTTTAAAATTATTTTAAAAATATATACACAAAGAAATATATTCTCTGATGCGCGTCCATGGAATACCAGTTCGTTATAATTTATTATAGACTTTTATTACGGAGTGAAATATAACGTTTCGTTGTGCGCGCACCCTTGTACTTGTTGTTATTTATTACGACCGAGGGTAGCCAGTGGATAATAAGAATAATAATAATAATTGGCGGGAGAAGGGTACGTGTAGGTATAGTTGATGTGCTACGTTGTACCAGTTGTGATATAATGATTAGGTTTGGGGACAAGACTCGTCTGGCGCACGATGCCCGCGGTTGACGAGACGTTTCTTCCGAGCGCGCGCACTGATTAAAAAGTCTCCTGACTCGCAACGTATATGACTGGATTTAATTGGAACGAATACCGTTAGCATACAAATAATGATGTTACCGTTTTTTTCTGCTCGTACCACCCGATGGTGATATTCACATGTACACGAATTGCTAGAGTCATCGTGATTTTCGAGGTTTCTAAGCACGTGATATGCAAACCAGATAAATGTTAAGGTTTTAAAATGGATCGTTTTCGAAATGTAAAAAAATGTTTTCTTCAATTTTTATTTTGTTTTTCGTCTGTTAACGTCTATTCAATGCAGACCCGTTACGTGGTGATTACCCTATAGCGATCGCCCCAATTGCCCCCCCCCCTCTAATACGCCACTAATTTCCACTAATAATCTAACTTATAGATCGGTGTTTTTGAAAGGTTCATTACTGAATAATAAAATTGCACCAATACTGAATAATGTTGAAAAAACAGACATTGCCTTCTAAGAACATTATGATGAAATTTAATATATAATTCTCATAATGTAATAATTATAATCTAATTATTGTCATGCTTATGAGTAAATTAATTTGAACATTTCTTACTCCCAACTATACAAACTAATCTTTGTTAAGATACTCCGTTATAGTTATAGTTTATAATAAAAATTAAGAAAATTGTTCGGTAAATAACTAGCTTGTATAAAATGTTTATTTGTATATATTAAAAACCTGAAATGGTTATACGGTATGTACATTATATATAAAAACGAGATGCAGTGCTCTTCTTACAGTTGAAATATATGTGTCAGTTTACTTATGTCAAAAAAATCGTATCTATTTTGCGGAACGTATATTTTCGAACACATTACATATTTACACAGTTATACGAAATATTTCAGACAATGTTTAAGACAAAGAAGTCGACAAGACGTCTGTCTCTCAAGAGGTCCGCGGAAAAATCAGACGAATAATATTGTATAGTTATAAAGAAAAAATGCCGATAGTTTTTATTGACATAAAAAGACACGATTTCATACATGTAAACAAGTATATCTGTTACACTTAAATATATAGACTGCGCTTTTCTTGTCTCCCCGCCAATAACAATCAATCGAAATCATGGCGTGAAAGAGAAAGACCGGAGTAGCGCATAAATAGACGTAAAAATAAACGAGAGAAATAGTTGTCGAAGTGGGGTATTCACTGTTGTATATCGCCTCTATAATCGCATACCGCCTCACTCGTTCAACGCTGGTATTAAAATAATTAATTTATCAAAATCTTTCAATTTTTCTTATAGCACATTGCGATGACAAACACCGAAACACCATTACTTACAACGATATTTATACAATACTCAATATTTGTTATGATTTTCACATGTGAACGTCATTATTTATAAACACGTTTATTTGGTAAAATTTAAAAGGAATCTAAATGTATGCCTTCAATATGGTTCTGACATAGCTCAACAGAGGTAAAAGTATAACAATGCGGTTTTTGAGCTTAAATAAATTAATTATAACCACCGTAACAAATCGAAATTCATAGGAACCTTTTTTTTTTTTTATTCCACGTTTGAATTTAACATCATTGATCGTTATAACTTATTTGTATTTTAAAAATAAAACCTGAAAAAACTAGTTGCTTTGGAAAAATTAAAACTTATTTTATAATATTACCATTAACTATTATGATAATAGTATATAGAGAATTCATTTTCATAATAATATGCTATTTTTTGGTGTAAACCAGTTAAGATCCGTTATCGGAATGTTAATACTTCCGAAAATTACTTAATATCTAAAGTTAGAGGACAGAACCCTAATTAATATTATATTCACTGCCCAATAAAATCCGTTATTAAAAATGATTAAACTTTAAATTATGCCTAAATAAATAGACATTATAACTAACTGAAGGCTTGATCGAAATATTATCATAATTTTAATTTTAAATTTATTTATGGCAATAATATCCCTTAATTTAATTTAATTAGTTTATTTAACAATATTCATTATTGAAGTTAGGGACCGTGTTTAGTTAGACCGTGAGTTTCATTAATAAATTACTGCTCACATCTAGCAAAGAAAAAAATATATTTATTTTTTTATTTTAGGTACATTTGTTTAATTCAGTATCTAATTTATGATATATAATATGTATATATTACACCCCTATCGAATAGTATATTAATTGTTCCATAAATAGGTGTAGCCAGACTTCGTGTTCATGGTACCTATGTAAGAAAGCTATAACAATAAATAATGTAAATGTGCAAAAATAAACTTATAAAGAAAAATATCAGTCTTCAAAAAAGTAGAATATAAGATATTTTCATAGGCGTTTAGGGTATGCAGTTGCATACCCTGTGGCCCCCTGGCTAGGTCTATAGTTCCCTATATATCATCAATTGCAAATAAAAATAATCCAACTACGTTATACTTGTAAGTTGTAATATTAGTTCCTACAGTTGTAATTTTTTTTTTTTTTTTTTTTGGCATGGACTTGATAATTTTAAATATAAATTTAACACGTCATATTCCCTCAATATTTTTGAACATTTATATTTATTTAGTATTATATAGAGTCTATGTATAGATGTATTGTATATGCAAAGTGTTTTAATTATGATACGTGTCTTTAATATATATTAATTTTGAATTAATTCTACATTTCTCAGTATCTATATTGGAATATTACCGAAATTGGTTCGATCGTTTTAACTATTTATAATAATTAAAGCCGTATATTATTAAAATGTATGCGAAATAACAAATATTATTTTTTAATACGAAATAAAAATCTTGTCTAATTATTATCAACTAGTGTGTACCAATAACTTTAATTATAAGGCAAAACACAATATTTCAATTTTAACTTTTAACAAAAATGACTTTTAAATAATGGATGAAATGGAAAAATGGATGGTATGAAATTATTATTTGTAAATTAAATTAAATTTAGTACTTAAACTTAATTTTATACTTTATTGAGTATCTAAACATTTTATTCCGCTAAAAATCATTACTTGTTACTTAAATAACTTATATTTTAATGACGGTCTAATTTTAAAAAAAGAAAATTTAAAACAACAAGGTTTCCTAAAAATATTAACTATATTAACTATATATTAAATATTTACTTTCACAGAAACTATTTTCATCTTTTCCTATTATGAAAAGTGTAATTATTCTCAATGTACTCATTTTAGATTTAAAAGTATAAAAAAAATTACTCAAGATATATTTCAATAATGAACGTTAATTAATAAAAATTTCTATTTTTAGATAAAAATGTATCACATCTGAAATAAATTTAATTTTGCTAAGATTTCATCTCTCGTTCCAACACCACTGAAACATAAATCGCTTCATAATAAATATCAATCTCATATTTACTAGTAGATGATTGTAAATCATCCGGATAAAGTTCACTTAATATTTTGTAATTCTATGTCATCAATGAAGACGAATAAATATTATACTTGGGTGTTATAATTTAATATAACTATCAAATTTAAAATTGATTCAAATTTCAATTGTGCAGATTTGTGTATTTTAATTATATGCTTTCAAATCTTATTACATTATACATTCTATAAGAAATAATATACCATCAATATACCTACATAACCGATTTTAAATAATCTAGCAAGGATATACATTTGTATTTTTCATTGCTTATAAAATATTTAGAAATTTAAGAATTTAACTAACCAAATGCATTCAATAAAATCACCAAAACCACCATAATTAATAATGGATAAATAAATAAATTAACAAATAAATAAATGCCTGAAGTATAATTAAAGTTGTATTTGTGAAGTATAGCTGGTATCGAATTGAAAATTCATTGTCAGGTATATTTATTTATTTCTATATATAAATTATTTATTTATTTATATATTTACAAGTATTAACCATTTACTAATTTTCAATTTTTTATTGACCTTCTGCTAAAATCACAAATATGGAATGCAATATTGCTTATTATATTGCGACTAAATATGTACAAATTGGACATGGAAAATTCGTATTTAATTTATCAGAAGATATAACACATATAAATATAAAATTTTAGCTTATATGTGTATATAAAAATATAACTAACTTTTAAATTTCTAAAAAATGTTATCGTCTAAATTTGCATTCATAAAACAACCTTTTGTCTGATATGTATAAAATATAATATGTAAATTATTTAACTTTAGTTGTTGTAGTGACTGTTGTTGAAGTAGTGGTTGTACTTGAGTTTCGGATAGACTTTTCATTTTTGTTCAATCTTGACTCTAGTTGTTGCTTAACTACAGATTTTTTCGGTGAGGGAGATCGAGATTTTTCAACAGATGTATTGGGTTTTTGATGAGAACCTGATCGAACTTTTTCCACTGGTGTAATAGTTTTTTGGGGTGAAGGAGATCGAGCCTTTTCAATTGACCTTGAAATTTTTTGAGGCAATGGAGATCGAGTTTCTTCAACTAACCTTAATGTCTTTTGTGGCGAAGGAGATCGAGAATTGCTAATTTGATTTATATATGATTTTTGTGGTGATACACTTCTTTGCTTTTGAACTTCGGTCTTTTTTACATACTCTGTCTTTTCTACGGTGACATTACTTTGTTTTTGGTGTTTAACTGGCACAGTATTTTGAATGTTCTGTAATTAATATTATTATTAATATTTATATAATATATATAAATTTTTGTATGATAATAAAATAAAATAATTTACCTTCGATGCACATGTTTTAGCTGTTGTTTCATTTACAGTTTTTGATTCTTGTTGTCGTTTAACAACTCGTTTTTGTGCTCTTATTCGACTTCTGCGATCGTAACCCACTGCTTTTTCCAGCTAAAAAAAAAAAAAAAAAAATTATAATTCAATAGGAACTTATACGGTTTGCTCTAACAACCAAACCTTTTTATAGTTTTGTTTAAATATAGTAGAAATGAGAAAAGACGAAAAGAATCAAAATAAATTACACTACTTGTACAACGTAATAATAGAACATTATAAAAAAATAGATAATTTTTAAACTTTTAAATTTTTTGAAACTATTTGACTATTTTCAATACTCTTCAATTTTTTGAATGTTAACTATATAACTATATATATATATATATATATATATATATATATATATTAATTGTATAAATATGTTAACTAGCTTTCAATGCATTAACTTATATATTATATCTGGATGATTTTTTTGATAATATCACTTGAAAACTACTCTTTTTTTAATTGCACGGCGCCAAGAGCAGGCAACAAAAATACAAATATTTAATTGTTTGTTTAAATAATTGTATCCTTATATTATAAGGAGTGCAGAATAAGTTTATAATTTTATTATTAGTCATTGCATTTTTTACAAGGACATTACGATTAACATAGTTAAATCATACGTACATTTAATAAAATGGAAATAATTTACTAACCATAGATTCTAGAATTTGTAAGTCAAAAATGTCCTCTATTTCTGCTTTATCGTCAACATTAGGAACTGAAGTTAATTTGGACGTTGTTAATGTAGTTTTTGGTGTAGTTGAAGTTTTTGTAGTTATTCCAAATTCAGTTTTGGAAGTAACAGTTGAATGTTGCCTGGATGATACAGTTGTATCTTGAATATGGCGATTTTCCTTAGTGTCTTCTTTTGTTTTCAATGTTACATTTTCAAAATTCTTAGGCTTATTTTTGTCCGGAGTTTCCACGACTTTTCTTTCTGGACTTTTTGATAATACTTTTCTGTTTATACTTTCATTGAATTTATTGGTAGTAAGAACGACTGTTGTTTTTTCTGGACTTTTTTTGCTTCTATTTGGACTAGCAGTTTTAGACGATATTTGGCTTGAAGTTACAGTATTGACAAATGTAGATGGTTTATTACAGGTTTCCGATGGTCTACCTGAACTGGGAGACTGATGTCTAGGAGTTGTTTTATTTTCTTTAGTCGACTTTTGAGTGATTTCATTTCCTTCGAAAGTAGTGGTTCTATCTTTCACAGTATTGGATCCTGTCACATTTCTAGATTTATAGATTTCATTTACTTTAACGTCGAATATTTCTGTTTTAATGACTTTCGACGGACTTTTGGTTGTTCGGTCAGGAGAACTATTCTTAGACTCAGGTGATCTTGTTCTAGTTACATTTGTTTTGTCTTTCAATGGTGTTTTTTTATCGGCCTTAGCTTCAAACGAAGCACGTCTTTCCTTTATAGAAGACGTTCTTGTTATTTTTTTGGGGGAAAGATTTGTTGTTTTTGCTTGTATACTGTTTGATTTTCCGTTTTCAAAAAATTCTTTTCGAGTTTTATAATCAGATGCTCCTGAAATTTTTCTAGTCAAAAGATTAGGCTTTTTATTGATATTTGTTAAATCTTCTTGTACGTGAATTTCAGTATTTGATTTTTCCGATTTGCTTGTATCTTCTTGAATAAAATCGGTTTCTTTAACTTGACCTTTTGCAATAGATTCAAAAATTTGTTTTGTTTTCCTTACTGCTTGAGGACTCTGAGGTATTTCAGACTTTTTTATATCTTCTTGTTTGTTTACTTGATTCAAAAACTTTAAAACTCTATCAGCAACTGTTACATTACTATCTTCATCCAAGTCTGTCACGATATCATATCTGTTACTATTTAATGTATAATCATTACCATCTTCTGGTTCACTCACAACATCAGCGTATCTTGGTAAACTTGCATCATCTGATACAGAACAATATTGGTGGCCGCCAAATCTTGCAGAATACTCGGGTGACGATTCTCTAGATGATTGGGGCAATTGAACAGTAACATTTAACAATGCATCTTTGTTTGTCATTTTTTTACCATATTCTTCTTCTGCTTCAATTCTTATATTATTTAGCTCCTTAATTTTTTTTTCATCTACATTATCATCATCGGAAGATGAAGAAGATGATACAGAGTCTGATGTATTATTTTTGATATATTTTGATTTTTCAGTTGAATCGTCCAAATCAGTATCGCTTTCAAAATTATCTGGAGGTAACTCGTCTTCTAAATCTTTAGATTTTAATTCTACATTTCTAGTCACTTCAACTTTTACAGTCTCATTTAAATTAGATGTAGTAGTTTTTTTTACTTGAGGTTTATCTGTAGTTATTGTTGAAATCGTTTTAGAATAATTTTTTGTTTTTCTTGGTGTAGTTTCATTTATATTAGGTTGGGCTGAAGTCAATATCTTAGGTTTAGAAACAATTGTAGAAGTATTATTTTTTAAGTTTATATTTCCAATATTCTTTTTAGAATCTATAGTTGTTTTCGTTTCAGTACTTGATTTCATAATATCCATTTTTTTTTGTGAAGACTGTGGACTAATAGGTTTTAATTTAGTCTTAGAATCTTTTTTCTCAATCATTTTTAGTGGTTCTTGATTCTTGGGCTTAGTTTCTGGGTTTGTTACCTTATTTCTAAATGATATAGTTGTTTTTTTATCAATAAGTAATTCTTGGCTGGGCTTATTAGTTACTGTTTTTAAAGTTATACTATCTTTTGAGTTCTTATGTATTAACGTTTTACTTTCGTTTCTAGTAATTTTAATATCAATTTTTTCTCTCGACAAATCTTTTTTAACAGTTTTATTGGATATATTGTTTTTTGAATCCTTATGTACAAGGTTTTTCTTTGAAGAGATTTTTTCCAAACTTGAAGGTATAGTTTTCTTTACTGGTAGTGGTACTTCTATCGTCGTTCTTTTAGTAGGTGTAATAGTTTTATTATAAGGAAAGTGTGATATTTTTTCTGGAGTCTTAACATTTGGGTATGTTTTAGTATCTTTCAGGATAGGTTTTGTTTCTTTTATTGGAGATTTTTCCCTAGGTTTCACAGCTATGCTATCATTTATTTTAATGGTCTCATTTACCACATTTAATTTTTCGTTTTCAATGAAATCCTCGTGGTTATTTCCCTTTTGTATAATTTTTATAGGTGATTTTTCCCTACTTGTTTTATTAATTTTAGTATTATATTTCTGTTCACTTATTACTTCAACATTGTCGATTTGCTCATCTAATTCACAGTCTTGTTCATGTATGATGAACTGCTCTTGAATAGATTTATTTTTAGATTCCAAAGTATTATTGACATTTTCGTGGATGAGTTCTATTTTTTTATTTTTATTTAAAGAAATTGTAGCTTCTGGTTTAATAACTTCAATTAAGTTGTTAACATCTACTATTTTATTTTTAGACGAGTAATTATTAGTATAAATGTTGTCCTCTCCTGTTATAAGATCGATTTTATCATTTTGAGTACTAGATTGAACTTGAGATATTCCATATTGTTTTACTGGTTTAAAAGCACTTCTTTCAGGGCTACTTTCATGTGAACTATGTTTTGTTATCAACGAAGCCTTTCTTACTTCTTTTCCAACTGATCCATCACTACTATACCCAGGAGATTTTTCTCTTGGTATTGGACTTTTTGATGGTGACTTTTGTCTTTGTACCGGACTTTTTGATAATGATTTTTGTCTTTTTATCGAACTTATTGATGGCGATTTTTCTCTTTGTGCCGGACTTGATGGTGAATTTTGTCTTCGCACTGGACTTGATGATTTTTCGTTTTGTGCCGGACTTTTTGGTGGTGATTTTTCTCTTAGTGTCGGACTTGCTGATGGTGATTTTTGACTATATTTTGTTGTTGAAGTTATCTTTGTTTCTTCTTTAAATAAACTTCTCTTCGCATCGTAACCTTTATACTTATCGTAGGTACAATGAGTTGCACCAGAACAATCAGAATCATCTGAAGAATCATATCGAGTAGGCGTATTAGCTCGTTTTTTTGATAAATCTTTTGTGTTTGTGGACGAAAGTTTTCGTCTTGTAGACGACTTAAGCAATTTAGGAGGACTCGCTGATTTTTCTGGTGACACTCTATATTTTTCGGGACTGGCTGATTTAAATCTACGTTCTGGACTGGCTGATTTAAATTTACGTTCTGGACTAGATCGTTCTTTGCAAGGTGAAGGACTAGATCTTTCGGGTGTTGATCGTAAGCTCCGCGCAAACGCTTCATGTGATGGGCTTAAATCAACACTTATCTTTGGTTGCTGATAAGAATGTTGATAGGTAGTGGTATATTGACCTTCAATGTTTTCTTTTGATGAATCTTTAATTTGATCTTCTACTTTTTTTGATATTTTTTCTTCGTTTGACGCTGTTAAATTTGATTTAGTAGATACATCGATCTTTTCATGTGGTATAGATAAATTAGAGTCCAATTTTTGAATTTCAGTTATAATTTTATTATCCGTTGTTATTTCGACATTTTCGGCCTTATTTAATAAATTATCTGATACATATGTATTATCAATATATTTACTGTTTATGTTCAATACATTTTCTGATGTGTTTATAATATTATCTTCGAATGTATTGTCGTTATTTGATACAAATTCTGATACACTTGCATTATCTACACATTTACTGTTTTTGTTCGACACATTTTCTGACACATTATCGACGTATTTATTATATTTTTTTGATACATTTTCCGATGCATATGTATTATCAACATATTTATTGTTTTTAATCGATACATTTTCCGATGCAGAAGTATTATCAACGTATTTATTGTTCTTGTTCAATACACTTTCTGATACAGGTTCAAATGTATCGCTATTTGATGTGTATGTTTCAATGACTTTTTGATGGTCATTTGAATATTGGCTTTTATCAATACAATCAGTGTTTTTAGTAGATACTGATTCTAATATCTTGCTTTCAACATTTGAATTGTTTGATTGATTGAATGATGTATCGTACGTTAGCTGACGGTCGTCGTTACTCTGTTCGTTAACAATAAATTTGGAGTTCAAATTTACATCAGCTTTTTGAATTTCTTCTGATACAGAAATAATAGTTTGTGACGATTCCCATTTAGAAGTAGTAGAGCTTGACATTGACGTTTGTTTCATAGAATCATGTATATACTCTTCATTTGGTCTTATTCTAGAACTAATCAGTTCCATTTGAACTATTCCTTTATTGTCGACTGAATCGTCACTTTGCGATGAAACATAATAATTTTTATTGGTATTAGATTGTCGTTGATAATCTTCTGTTGGTGATTCGGAATCTCGTATCTCTTTAGTTTTCATGGTCATAAATCCTTGATCTGTAATAGATTCCGTGTGTGTTCGGGCTGATGAGCGCTTAGACGTAGTTTCTGTTTGAGCCGTTACACCTGACGTATTTGTGTACAAATCTTTTAATCGTTTTTCCCGAAGCTTATACATCCTCACGCGAATCTCTTTTTTCTTGCCAAAATCTTCAGTTTGTATCCACTACAAAAAAAAAAAAAAAAAAATTAAAAATTAAAAAAAATAAAAAACTATTAGTTTTAAACAAAGTTTAATTATATTTTGACTTGAAAATATACTACCATTCTGCGCAACACATCTTCATCTTGTATAAGTGCAATATCCGATCCTACTTCGGTCGCCATGATGTTCAATAGCGTTCAATAACCTGCTATTAAAAATACATAATTACTAAACATAGGTTTAAATATTTATTTTTTTGGTTTTACGAATCGTACACATAAAATATTTAACAATAAAACAAGAAGTGACAACGATTCTATTTATGGTTATAGTGGGTATGTACAATATTTCCCCTATAAACAAGTTTTCGTTGTAAATCATCATCAGCGCCATACTCCATAAACGGAAAAGTTGGTTAACATTTTAGACAGTAGTGGTAATAAGAATAAAATTAAGCATAATATGGCCTTGTATTCACATGGCTTAACTCCAAAAATAGACATAATAATATTGGTCATATTACTTTTAATTACAAACATGCATTTTATTTTACTTTTTATCGTCTTGTATGCAGTTCTTTGATAATTTATCATTTTTAAATAATAATAGAAAACCTATCGAATGTAGACTGCTATAAAGATTTCAAGAAATGTTCAACCTACACAGATATAACGAATAAATGTGGGAGAACAGTTATTTGCAAAAAGAGAAATTCAGGGCCGTAAACACTTTTTTTTTGACACTATAATATTGAGTAGGCAGTTTGGTATAAAAATAATAATTAAATTCAAGCACCACTTTCTATCAACTCTTCTTATAATAAATAATTTAATTATTGCTGTTCGTAGCTGTACGTCACACGTTATCTGAAGATTCGGCGATTGTCAACCTATGGTAGACAATCTAGGTCATTCCCATACGCTTTGGTAGTAGTAAACTGTCTGTCCTTGATAGCTTAAATAGTGTTGTAGTACGAAAAGACATTTAGCACCAAACAATATCGATATATGTTACGAGACCCCGAGGATTTCCTTACAAGGAAGTAGTTTTTAACCGAGAACATTGTAAGTACAACGGCCTAGACCTCAATTCGAATACATTCCGTTTAATATGCCAATGATTCCTAATATTTGCAAAGGGATAAAATATCCATATTTGTTATTCAGAAGTTATACAGTTTATTTATTATTGATAGTTTTGATTTTCATATAATGGTTATAAATGTGTATCTAATGTATCTAACTTGATGTCAAATTGACCAAACCCACGCATTTTTATGTTAAGTACCAATATGAATAATCCGCCCAGCACATGGCTGTTAGTTTTTTACTTAAATTAAATCAACGAAACCCACGATTTCTATGTTGCGGTGATTGAGGCATTATTTAGTATAATGGATAAAATAATTATCAAGAGTTTAGTTAAAAGACGGACATTTTAATACTTTATACTCGTATAGTTAACTTTAAATTATAATCTATAAAATTCAAATGCACTGAGAAAATATTTTTAAGTAACTCATATTTTGTTAATAAAAATTGTTTAAATTGTATTTTCAAAATAATACACCGTGTAAATGATATGCGGTCAAAAATTAATAAACATTTTATATTAATAAGTTATAATAAGTGTCTGAGTTACGTGTCTGAGTTGTGAAATTAAATATTAAGCTTAATTAAGTATTTATTTAACTAGGCTGAGCATTGTATAATAATAATATTTATAAGACAAGAATCATAGGATATAGATACATTTTTAACAAATTTCAGTACATGCAAATACAATCGCATGCCATTATGAGAAATGTGATGTTTTTATACTGCTACAGTACTTATTTTTTATGTTAACTATATACTATAATAACACAATACATATATTACAATAGTAGGTATATTATATTTTCTTGGCTTTACTTAACAAAATATTTTAACGTTCTTATAAATCTTATACAAATGCGTATAACGTTTTATAATTATTTAAATATATAACAGACAACACAAATGTTGTCAACCATAAAAAGATAAGTATGAACAGAATAATTATAAAGAGTTAATGTATAATATATTATCATTATTATAATAGCATAAAAATTATAAATGATTAATTATTGTCCATATGACTGGATGAAATGCGGGGGTAGAGTAGAAGGATCATAGTTAATGTGATCACTACATGTTTAGACTATGACCGATAATAGAATAATTATTTATGTGGAAATAGTTACAGTTATAGTTATAGTTCATTTTTATGGTTTTACATTTATATTTTACAACTTTTTAGAATAGTAATTTACACATTCTATGTAGATATGTTTGTGTATTGAAGCATATGTATAAACAATATAATAGATGTTATTAATTAATTGTTATTCAATTGAATTATGACGAATGATGTGTACGATTCCTATTTTAGAAAAATAAAATTATCTTCTCTTGTTTAACGTACAAAAATGATGAATCAAAAACTTTTTATTGCAATGAAAGTACTTATCGGACAACATACTTCCCAATAAACATATATATTATATACAATTTTAAAAAGCTTCGTGAGTCATTGTAAGTATAGAACATCAAATGTGCGACGTCGAATAGAATAAAAATAATAAAAATAAAGGAGAAGAAAAATAAAATTATAATAAAAAAAATCCACCTACGTGCGACCACTATATTAATGTGGACAGTTGTTGTGAGTGCCCGCGAAATCTATAATGTACGTTATATTGCATGTATATTATGTATGTAAATTATATTGAACGGTTTAGCAGAAATTAACAATTGTTTATTTTCGGTATGAGTAGATACCTACAGCAAATAATCGTTGGGATTGATGAATCGCATCTCTTGTACGCTACTATTGCATACTTAGTGCGTGCGTACGTATGTGTGTGTGTGTAAATAAATTTACACCAATTCAAAACAATGTCATAAGCAAGTTTATATTGGTACAACTACGAAGGAATTATGCACACATACGCTCCGATTATGGACCTGTAATGTACCTATTATTAACGTTATCGGCGACAGTGTGAGTCAGATCGCGTTGTGTTCGATAGAGGAATTCTTCCATAATAATACTCCTAAAGTACAGGTGTTTACAATATTATTAAACTATTAAAGTAATCACGTATACGAAACTGCGTTAACGAGTTAATTGCTTTTGTTATTAACATTAAACGCAATACACAATACTTTTGTTATTCTTACTTAAAAAAATAATTTCATTGTTAATACTATAAAAATGATGCAGATAAAATAATGTATAGGAGATTCTAACCATAACTATTGCCAAACATTTGAAGTTTCAATGTAATTGAAATAATCGTTATTGCACAAAACCTTCAAAGAATTAAACGAAAATACCGTCAACAATTAAATTTATTTAATTATGTATTTATTCGTTTTTATGATTTAAAAATATAGTGTTTACTTTACTCAAACCGTGAATGAATACATTATGTTAAAATCACATGTCACACGCTCCTTGTCACAGTTTTGTCATAATACTATGTAAAAAATTATATCTCCACAAAAAAAAAAGGCATAAAAAAAAATTGTATATTATAGAAAAAATAATTTTGTTATTATTACGCTATTTTTCATCGAGAAAAAATGTATTATTAGATCCATAAAAAAAGCTTATAAATACCGGTAAACTTACTATTCTTAAATTTTATTTCATTTTTAATTTCTAATTACATTTTTACCTTTATACGAAATATACTAAGTAATCGTAATATTTTACTTTAAATACATTCATTATAATTTATTAAATATATATTGAATATAATATAATGCAAATTATATTTTTTAACACTAAAACAAACAAATATTCACAATGTAAAATAATAGAGAAAATAACTAAATTGTTTAGAAATAATAACATTTTCTTTTTTAATATAATTATATTCTTATCAATGAAATATTATCATGGTTTAAAATGATAATTATTTGAATGTCAATGAAAAGTTAAAAACCAATGATTTAAATAATGTCGAATGAAAACGTAGCAAACACTAGTTCATAAATAACATGCATGAGTTGTCATTTGAAGAAAAATTTTAAGTTATTCAGCAATCAAAATTAATTGAATTGAAGTAAATTAAGTGGTTATGTATAGCTTGATAAAATTGAAAACAAGCCGTTTATGGGGATAAATATTTATTGCTACGCCAATTACCTAAAACGATGTAGTGTTGGAAAATATGAAAAAGGTTATGATACGTTTAAATAATATGTTGAAATTATTGAAAAATAAAAGAAAATTTAAAAAATATTAATGTAAGTACAAACATGTGTAGTCTCAATAAATTATACCATCTTATCAAATTATTATAAAATTATAAAATTATCATTGTTATAGACGTGAGGGTGGCGTATTGTTGTATCATTATAGTATCTATAATAAATATTAATATTGGACCAATAAAATTTAAAACTACCACAAGACTAGATTTTTGCGACTCTATAAACGGAACAATGTTAAAAACACAAATATTTAATCATATCTAGTACACATAATTTAGACTATTAATTTAAGTAAAAGATTTTTTCTTATATATTTAAAATTTTTTTTAAAAAATTGAACTTTTGTTATTTATGAAAAAATAAAACGTAAAATTATGTTAAAAATACACAAATTTACTAAAATTAAATGTTTTATGACGAAAGAATGTGATTGTAAAAAAGATTAAAATACATTTAATTCAATGTCCAACTAAAGAATTATAGACATTATAAACTGTTTATTTTTCTTTTTCGTTTCTCATATTATTTGATACAATTAATTTCAATTTTATTATTTCGATTGAGGATAAATTTATTTTAGTATATTTTAAGTACAATTTTTTTAGAGTCTAGGAGTATAGCACATCTTATAAGTATAGTAGCATAATAATAGAATTGTAACATACAATAGAATATATTGTCCGTTCATTAAGCATATAACGTAATGAATACTATTGATTTTTGTTTTAAACTAACCGGTCTTATTAAAAACTCACTAATCAGCACTAGAACATACAGAAATCTTACAATAGAAACAATTGTCCAAGTTTTCTTTAGAGTATTTTGTATATTTTAAATTCGATTACTATCAAGTTTTAGTACGAATAATTCACATTAAAATACAAATATTTAATAGCGTTCAATTTTTTACGTTCTTCACCAATAAGTGATACGTAAAAAGTAATCAGTAAATCTAATGCTGGGTACACAAATGTCAAAGAAACAAAACATAAACCCAAATAAACCAGCATAAGTTTCAAATTTTTTTTTTTAAACTCGTTAACAGATTTATTTTTTTCCAACACGAAATACATAAAAAAACAAATTATTATACTTGTACGATATTACGATTTATATACATCGATTTATCTTATCATCAATATGTTGAATATATTTCTCAACCGATAATCCTGAATAATTTTCTATAAATGTATTTCTCATAGAATAAATATTCTTTGTGTCATTCATTGATTACAATATAAGAGAGCAGGGAAAAATGTGTTTTGATTTTAAATGATTGAATAGATTTTTTTTTTTTATAACATATTAATAATAAACAATACACAATTGATTTACGATACCTATATTGGCAACAGTAATACACCATTAATTAATTATGATTATTATTAATACTTAAGGCTAAATGCCAGTGGCTGGTACTTAAGTAGTATCGGTTTCTATTACATTATTACCATTGATTAGTCCAGACTTATAGGGAAATTCATAACTAACAATTTTCTTTCTCTTTAAATGTAACGTCATGGTGTTCTATTGAATGAGCAAATAATATAGGTAATATACTTAAATTACATAATTTTAAAAATGAATTAACATTTCGGAAATTAAAATTGGTCGGGAACAGAATGTGGATATAAAAAGGCTAAGCAAGTAGTCTTATAGGCGTAATGCGTACACTATAGTTTAGTTATGTAACTATACCTATGTACAGTCAAACCAGACCGTATGGAAAAAATAATACCAAACTATACTTGTTTAGAATATGTATGTTGAAAGATCATACAAGACTGATTAAGGAAACCAATTTTTTTCGGTTTTTACTCATACCCTCTGTGATAACGTTTTCTGTAGTATTGAATTTTAAGTCAATAAATAAAATCAAAGAAAAAACTTTACTTAATGATTATTATAAGAATTCCCAACGATGTATTTTTGAAAGAAAAAAAAGGTTCAAAAATAAATAATTACTTGCTAAGATAATACAAAGAAAGAAATCATTAATTTATACTATGTGGTTGTAAGTAACTCTTCATTTAAATTTAAATATTAATAGAATAATATAATGATTAATTCATACCTTATATGTATTATTTATGTTATATAAAACACTTGTTTAAAAAAAAAAAACTATAAACCCCATCCTCCTACAAAAAATTTGAAAACACGCTACCCAGAATTCCTATATCAAAACTTGATCGTGTACAAATTTTCCAGAGAGTTTTTGTAAGGGTTGCTCTAAAAATAGTTTTTAACTTTTTAATACCTACCAAAAATATTTCTCACGAATAAGACAAATGAAAAAAATTACTTTTAATACGATTAAAATAAAATTGAAATAATTAATTAAAAACAACTGGATATCATTGTAATTATCGTATTATTTCACATGAACTAACAATAGTATTATAATTAAAAACAAAATGTATACAATTCAATTTGTAACTTCTTCGAATAATAAATAAGATACATGCACATATACATATACGTACATATTAAATATATGAGAAATCTCTGTAATATACATAATTCGTAGTTTTTGTCTTAGGGTCATTAAAAATGTATCTATTGCCTGGGAAATTTAAAAATTAAAAATCACCCTATACGAAATATTTTTTTATATTGATTGAATTTCATAATTTCATGAATTTTATTTATACAGATATATCATATCACGTATGTTAAGATATGTGTTAACAGTTTAACATAATAAGACTGGATATGGAGAGAAAGTGACTCTTGGGGCTAAAAATGTAGATCCACTTATGTGACTGTTTAAGACACATTTTAGCAATTTTTAACAATGTTTAGGTGATTTTTATTTCATATACTTTTATTAATTTTCAGTTTATTAGGGATATTTAAATACGTTAATTATGTGTCTAAAACTTGTAAATATAAATAAACTATTATTAGTACGTATTAAACGTGAGAAAATATATTTTAATTCAATAATACAAATGAATTCTAAATTAAAAACATAGTTTTAATAAAATCAACGTAATAATGTTACATTTTTTTTAATGTAATTACTTCGCAGTTAAAGATCACTATATATATATTTATGGATAATTCAAGTGTATTTTTTTTAAAGTTTGTATTGAAACTTATTTTTTTATACGTATAAAAATAATAGTAATTCAAAGTAACACTTACTTATAATAACCGCGTTAAAAATTGTCTGATTAGCAAATAATATTAGCTAATAATATTTTAAATGTTCACTAAGTTTTTATAGTTAATATATAATTAAAAATAAATATTTATACGTTATTTATTAATGTAGTTTGTTTATAACTATGTTAGCGTGTTTTTTGCCATAACATTATTTTAGATTTTCAAGGACTATTCAATAATAATATCAATGAACATGTATAATAATTTATAAGCTAAGCTTGTCATTTTGGATAGTCAAATAGTTTAGAAAGTAAGATAATTGAATACTGTTCATAAACGAATTGAAATTACAACTTTTTACAAATGTTGAAAATATATGACTAGTGAGTTTAATGTTTATGAAATCACGTAATGTAATGAACTCGAAAAATAAAACCCTGTATCATAAAAATATTTATTGACTGTTATAAATGTAATTATACAACACTTTTTTTCTAAAATACACGCACAAGATAATGTAATAGCATACATAATGTCAAAATGTGTGTAAATTATTGTTCACTTTAATAAACTAACATAACTTGATGAATAACACGTTCTCTTAAAAGTCACATACCGCGATAATAATGTTATAGAAACAAATTTACAAAAAGTTGTACCTCGTAATTTTTCAGTCAAACTATATTCAATGAAATCCAACGATTCGATTTAAAGTCGGATATATATAAAAAAAAAAAACTTCGTTTTATTACTTGAGTTAGTTAAATGTGAAATATCCAACGATTAAAAACTGAAATGAAAATAAAGATTACATTTTTGAATAAAGACGGGTAAATAAGACTGGTGTTTAGAGGTCCGTGTGTATAGTATACATTGTCCGCCGCCGATACGGCTTATTAGTAACTACCTATACGTATATAAAACGCGAAGAAGAATCTAAACTGGTTGCATTATTCACCCATTGCATTCCAAGAAACGATATCTCATTTTTATTCAAATTTATGGACACTGCCACCACGCTACATAAGACCCCATAATAAGTATATTGCATCATCATCGGTATATTATCATTAGTAAAATTCTTTACAAAGCGGTTTACTATACTGTAATCCGATCTATATGTCTCATGTGGAGATGAATGATGATACATTTAAACATAAATTAATTACTCAAATTTCCCAAAATAAAGAAAGAATATTTTGGATTTTTATTATTTAATTGCCATTGAAAACATGATTCTCCTGTTATTTTATTTAATAATAGTTCTAAATATAAATAGTAGATTACATTTGTAATTTATTGATCATCTTAAGTATATAATGCACTCATAAGTACTAATTGATTCTTTTAGATTTACAAATATTGAATGAAACCTTATCAACGAAAAGATTATAATATGTAATTTAATGAATAATTCAATAAGATAATAAATACTTTATTTATCTAGATTTTTTATTTTGAAAAATCTTTAAATAGGTATATAATATAAGGGACTTAGAACACCGAAGATAACCAAAGTGAAATGTATTGTATCGATACTAAAAGGACCTCATAGTATCATTCAATTCATGTTTGCTTGATAATAAATCATATGAATCCTCGGGAAAAAAAATCGGAAATACACAATATGACTATTAAACCTTCGCTAAAGAAACTGGTAACACAATCCTCCTGATTATGGACAATGGAATGACTCATCTGGTTATACGCGGTATTTTGCGACTAAGCATTACTTTTTCTTTCTACTACCTTTAACCTGTAAAAATTCTACTCTTGTGTGTTAGATTTAAATGGATTTTCACGAGTAGAATGACTATAAAAATTAAAAATAAATAAAATATAAAAAACAATTAACATTGCTTCGAGATCGTTATTTATCAAAAAAAAAAAAATGTTTAATTATTCTCATTTATAAATACGCACGTTCTGTTTATGTATACGTTTCGCTTCGACCCTAAATATTATAATAATTTTAATTTATTCTCCGCATTGGAATAAATAAATATGATACAAAAATATTCACACACTCGTACATTTTCGATAAATAAATAATAAATGTAATTATATCAGCGTTATTAACTTATAAATAATATGGTTTAGTACGACATTCATCCAAATAAGTAAGTTATAATAATATTTGTGTTTATTATATAAATATATAAGTACCTTTAATATTTATTCCGATGTTAATAGATATTATCTTAATTCGTATACGAAGAAGCACATTTGAAAATCCGTGTCGTTAATTATTAAAAAAAATTAAATCACAGTTAAATTATATGTTAACGTGTTAATATATGAAAAAAAAAAGTTAATCGACTAAGTTAAAGCTGGATAAAATAAAATATAAATATACAAATGTATAAATACGCTCTGCGTTTCTAACCTGTCTCGCAGGGATCGCAGATATTTTGTTGGTTTGTTCAGCGAAATAAATAAACGAATAAATAAATTACGAAACGAATATAATATTACAGATGTCGAAGCGTTTGGTAGCGATATGTATAACCGTCGCCCGATGAAGCGCTATGGATACTAACCGGTGTGTCTGTCTGGAAACGTTGGCGATTGCGTCGCGGGCCGTCCTTCGCCAACTCCTACGGGGCCCTACGTCAGGCCCGGAGGTTGTACGAGCCTATGCGACTTCTACAGAACGTACAACGTGTACGAAATACACTTCTCTTATCAGCGACGAATCCCACTGCATTCCTCGTGACTCGGATAGTCGCAGCTCTCACCCGCACGCGCGCGCGTACCACTCGTACGCACGCACATGTAATGTAAAGTCACCCTCTAGCCGGTGTGGTGTACACGACGAATATGATTTTTTTTTCTCGCAAGTCATACGAAAACCAATCTCCGTACACACGAGCGAAACGAACTCGGACGTATAAGTATGGATCGCGTAAGACGCAACAATAACAATATAAATTATTATGACTCGATTCCAGTTCTTCTGGAAAAAAAAAGGGGAAAAAATTGCCCCGAAACAACCGTATTATAATAATATCTATTTCGATTCATCCGCGTTATACCTAATAGTAATAATTATCATGTTTTTTTCTAGATCACCGCACGAATACGATCGTTTTACCATATCGTTTAACGTTCAACATTTTTACTATCAAAACGAGATACCTGTGCCTGCATTGCATGTATTTACTTATATAATATATAAGTGAAGTCGTAAATATAATTTTAAAAACATTCGTTAACATTTCGACTAGAAAATACCGATTCGTCTTTCTTTAAGTGTTAAGTGGTGTACAAAATGATATGGCAACATCCGTGCAATAACCGGTCAAGAAAAATGCTTTACAGTAAAGTTATGGTAACAACAGTTGACAAACTCATCTTTTACGGCCTATTAGAGAATAATTATAAACACGTATTTTCCTAATAATCTTATAAAATTTTTTCGTTTTTATCAAAAAAATCTGGTAGAATATTTTTAAAAACACTTTTGTGATAAGTTATTTAAAATCATTTTTTCTCGAGTCAAAAGACCACTTTACTCATAGTATATTTTTATTATTATTACATATTAACATGTTTATTTTTCCGTTACTACGTACTATATAAAATATTTAAATAATCATACCTTGACAAAAAAAAAAAAAATTGAACCATTTACGAATATAATACATAAAACATTTATTTTCTAATGGTTTACCAAAAATACAAAATTAGCCATGTATGTCCATAGAAGTTCTTTAATTACATTTAATATATTACTAATAATATATCTTTTAAGTATAATTATAATTACTAAGTAGGTATATTTTGCTAAATATTATAGAGAATATTAAATTAAATAAAATAACTAGTTTGGGAAACGCTGGACTAGACAATTATAAAATCACGATTTATTAATATGTACATATGTATGTAGACACGTGTAAAAAAAAGCCCCCCCCCCCCGTATCTGTGTTAAATAATTTCGCTCGTGGAACGCAGTTTTTAAATCGTTGGACTGAGCTCCTCTACTCAACTTTTTCCAATTCAAGCATTGCTAATTAATACAATCTCGATTTTAAACAAAATATTTTGAAATTTTCCATAAAATAAAATATTAGACAACGCAGTCATTCGTTATGTTAAAATATTATTTAGAATAATAATTGTATTATATGTTATTATAGAGCTTGAATAAATCACCCTCAATATATAAATATAAATGCGTACACTGTTAATTTAATAACTTTATATAAGAATTTCAATAATAAGTACCCGTTATACGTATTTTTTCATTTTTAATGATATGATATTAGGATTATGATAAAACTTCGTAACTTGACTTAAGAATTTTTTTTTTTTCAACTTCTAGTTATGAGGTTTTGATATTACGATTTAACCGTATAACAGTGTATTGTACACTACAATCGATTTTACAGTGTATACATTGTATACTGTACAACTTACTTACGTTATCAATGTTATTTTTAACATAAAGTAAAATTTACAAAATTGATTAAATTACGTAGTTTTGGTACGTAGCTGTCAAATCGTCCTTATAAATTATTGTTTAAATTAAGAACTATTTTCCTGGACTAAAAAAAACATGTTTCTATAAATGGGCACACCTCATTTTTTTGATAAATAGTAATACTATACTCATATGGTGTATTGTATAACTTTATAATAATTAATAATTATATATGTGTACCATGAAACAATTGTACGGTCTTCCCAGTTACATATTGTGTTTGAATGTAAAACCCAATGGAACGGAGTACACTAGTGAAGGGCGAATGCGACATTTATGGCTTGGCGTTTGTAGAAGAGACTTTTTCAGTTACAATTATTATTATATTATTCCAAGGAAATGACAATCGATGATGTCAAACAATTTTATTTTTGCATATTATCCGATTTCCCGAAATCGAAATATTAATCATTAAATTATTTATTTTAGCAATACTTTGTCTATTTATGAGCAAAAAAAGTGCATTTAAACACACAATTAAGGAAATGAATAATCGATGATGATAAAAAATAATGACTATCTTAGATATTTATACAACTACGTTGATTTTTGTTAAATTTTTTAAAATTATAAATTATCATCATATTTTACTTTTCAGGTATGTTAAATTATATGAATTTATTTATAATAAGTAATAGTACATTTAAAATACAAAATCACGTTCATTAACATATTATATAAAAATGTAATTTTCCTTTCTTTTTAGTAATAGAAAAAATTGTGCTTTCAAGTAATTTGGTAAGAATCATTAATTATATATAAGATAAAATGTATAAACAAATATTTTAATAATATATTTAAAGATCAAACCATGTTTTTTAATAAATATTTAACCGTTATTTGTAAAAATTAAAAATTTTATAATTTTATTTGAGAGATAAAATCACAAATTTATCTCTTGTTAATGACACACACACACACATATATATATATGTGTGTGTGTGTGTGTGTATGTGTCAATGTACATAATACGATTTTTGCCTAGGTATTATGCATAATGCCAATCGTGGAATAGGCAATATGCATAATGCCAATCGTGGAATAGGCAATATGAAGAAAAACAAAATTGGGCATCGCCTATTACCAACAACTTTACTTGTCGTTTATCATAAATGTGCGTTCACGATTTAACATAATAAAGATTAATATTCTTTTACTACTACAATAATAATTCTGGTATAATCTATTAAACGTACTAATAATATTATTACAATATCGTAATTTTTCTCGTCATTTTCGTGTCTTGTTTTGGTGTTGCAACTATGCATACAATTTATATGAAGTCAAATTTTTTTAAGAATTGGCCACTAATACTAGTTTTTTTATCTGATAATATAATAAGTTGATAAAATTAAATTTACAAGAATTGGCCAAGAATTTTTAAAATGTGTTTGTAAGTCCAAGTGTCAAAATAAAAAATTGTATTAGCCTTAAAAATAAAATTAAATGTCACTTTTCTACAACATATTATAATAAGTAAATAGTAGTTTAAGTAAAATATTTATATAATAGTAATAATATAATAATAGATAAAAATTAAATTTTGTCTGTAATATGAGTAATAATATAATAACTATAAGTATCATAATATAATATGACATATAATAAAATGTTTTATATTTTGCCTAAAAAAAAATTAGTATTTTGCATTATGCTTAGGTATTTTATAAAATACCTAGGCTATATGTAAAATAATATTGAAAATCATATGTTTTATTTACTTTTCCTAAATTGGATCGGTAATTTGCATAATGGCTAGACATTTTGCAAAATACCTGAATTATCCATATTGTCGGTAACATATATATGTATTTGAGAGCTATCAAAATTCCTACCAAACATATTGTATACAATCCAATATAAAAATTATCAATGAAATCAGGATTGTTTATTAGTATGCATGAGAGTAAATTGTAATAAGTGTATTTTATTTACTAATTTTGAATAATATCTATCACATACCTATAACTCTCGATCAAAATAATTATAATAATAAATAATACATTATATACTATTTTGATATCAATTATTAAAAGATATAAAAGAGAACGAATCTTTCAAAATTTTTTATATTAATATAAAATTGTAATAAAAGTAATAAGTAAAAATAATAAAGATATTATTATAACATAAAATTACTTAATCTAAATATGACTACTTATTTTTAATACTACTAATTTTTAAATTGTTTTTAAATAACTGAACCTGTTTTTTAATTTCAATAATATTATAATATACTTTTCCAAATATCCCGTTATATATAACTGAATATTGTATTATAATATAAACATTCAGGCTTATTTTTAGGAATATATTACACCTTTATTTTTTTAAAATTAGATTAAAAAATAAATTAAAAGAAATACTAACATAACAATTTAATAAAAGGAGCGGAAATGTAAGTCTAAAAATATGGAAAGTAAATACTTCACAATTTATTTATTTATTATTTTATATTAGAATTAAATTACGACTCAAATAAGTCGAAACTTAGTAGGTATCAAATATTTTGCAAAAATATAATAAAATTATTTTTAGTTTGACACTTTTTCCTGGTTAATTATATCAACAGTTATTTAGTTTGTTAATGTAATATTTAGTATTTCCACTAATTAATTTTATACTATTTATTCATATTCAAAACACCACATATAAATATTATAGTTTTCTTTAAACTCATGTAAAAGTTTAGCAAAAATATTAAAAAGCAATATATTCTATCGAGGACAATTGAGATTAATGTTTATTAGAATAATTCGAAGGCCAAGGACTCCTCTTCGATACTATTTTTCATTTCATTTAAGTATTGCCTGTTAAGGCTCTATCTATTTTCAATGACTCATATGCTAGTATACTACTTTACTTGTCTTTTAATTTCCAAATTATGCCAAACTGTATTGTAATATTTTTTTATTATTCATGAAGTACAACAAATCATAAATAATATAATTTGGTCACTTATTCGACATTTATACGGTATGAACGTGCAAGAAAAATTGGAATCTTATTAGAAACTATATTTCAGTTATTAATGTTTATAAAAC